AACCGCAGTCAAATGCCGAAGGAATGCTGTGAGTACTATCTACACACTGGTTCCAAATGAGGCTCTGATAGTGGGCTCGATGACAATGTAGTATCAGTGCGTCTTTCGTTGGTGGCAAACAGTCAATATTCGTCTTGCATTGGAAGAACTTCGACAAGCGAATCTCCTGTATGACTACCGATGTTGTCGTTGGATCATACAGTTTACATATAAATGCTTCCACTGATGATAGCAATTTAGGTGATAGTGGTACATTTTGTTCCAACCCATGAATGCATTCTGGATCTTCAACGAATACTTTCCATGCTGCGTTTTTAGAAATTCCTGCAAACTGACTCGTCGTGTCACTTCCGGTTAGCGCATGAAAAGCTAACAATCCCTTTCGAATGTTGTTGTTTATTGCAATGTCATGGACTCTTATCATCCGAGGAGATTTTGAAGTTCCTGCCTTCATCCAAACCTCCTGCGACAACTTTGCCGAAAACACTGTTAGCATCACTAACACATCGGTATCCCTGCAAACTACAATCGTGCGCTCATATCCGTGGTCTGCAGCATCACACGCATGAAGAACAATTCGCGTGTCAGCCTCCTCGTGGTTTGCTGAAAGTGTTGACACATCACGTTCCAAGGTACATATGGTTTTCGTTATTTCCGTAAACCCGCCACTCACATTTATCTCTTTACCGCCAAGTTCACTAGAGATGATCAATTCCTCGGACAAGAAACGAGCAAGATCGGCTTTGTTTTCAGCGAGAGTGATAAATGTCTTTCAGTTCTGAGGGAGTTTTGTGTCTTTACCGGTAATCAACCGCCTAATTTGTTTTCTCCCTCATCGTCGTCTTTCTTGTGTACCTTCTTTAATAGAATTCTCGTATCGATCAAATATAATATCTATCCTGTCTGAATTTCTACCGTGTGACTTCACACAGTTCACAAACACATCTGCTAAGTCACCAAACGTAACTGCTGCTGTCGGTTTCCCAATGGATTGTACCACTGCCATACCATCAATAATGGTACATGTTTTAATAATGTCACTGATAGGCAAATCTGGCTGGGATGCATCTTTCGACAGAATATTCATTAGTTGCGATTTGTCCGCTTTTCGCAACTTGCCGTCTGATGTGCAAAGTGATAGAGGAACTGCCCAAAATTCCTGGTGAAGCATTTTCTCCATATCTACTTCTCGTCCAGATTCCTTTGTCGTTAACAGACGACGGGAAAGTTCGCAGTCTGATTTCACGTTCGCCTTCGGTGTATTTCTCTGTGTTTCAGATTTATATATCGAGGTCATTGTTTTTGACTAATTGTGTTTCGTAATGGTATCATGAAAGCCTTTTGCTGGTATGAGACGAGTTTCTACAAACGATTTCAGTTGAACCCTTTCGTCTTGGCACCACATATGTCTGATTTAATGTCATCTGTAGCAACATCTCCCGTGGCAATCTGGATGAGTTATTCTTACTGAGATGATTTTATTCATGTCAGACCTATCCCGTACTAGTCGTAAAGGGCCACACTGTTTGTGACTATATTCACTTTCATTGTCTTCCTGATGTATTCCGAACAAGGAATATGTATCCTCTGCTAGTCTAGCCCTTTCGTTGAAGGTAATACTCCATCGAAGTAAGGCAGAGGTATCTTGCGTAATGCCAATAAGACCTCCAGCAACTTTCCCAAGTTCGTTGAAATGTTCAAGACCTTGGTCATCGGGAAGTTGATTGAATGTGTGCTTTGTTTCTTTCACCACAAAGTCACCCTGAGGAAATCCTCTGTATACCTCTGGTGCAGTTTTACTCAGTTGTTTCATCTCAGCGAGAAACACCGGTCCCCATCTGCTGTAGTTAATATGGTCATATATCGCGAACCACGGTAGCATTTCCGCAAATGACGAGAGATACAGATGCCAATCTCTACATCTCAGTGCTCGTGTAAACCGAGGTAGGATGCAGACGAGTTTCATATACTGCATCCACATCACCAAAGTCGGGTCATCGGAATGTGCATCATCGTATTTCCTGACAAGACGAATGAGCTCTTCACGCTTTGACACCAATATGTTCAAGGATTCAGGTTTGTTGTCATCGTCATTGTTCATGTCATGGATAACTTTCATCGAGAGAGCCATTAGTTCATCAACATCAATGTCGAGTTCAGATTCTTAAGCCCACGCCAGAAGCTGTGGATATAACGTAATCCACAATGCTTCAAATGTCAGTTTGTGTGCACGGAATATGCGATTCCACATCTTCCCTTTCATTACATTTGCTGCAGTATTAGATCCGAAGACACCACTCTCGATCCATATATCTTCTAGGCCCGAGTCAGCCATATGTTGACCAATGACTTTTACGAAGTTTAGTTGTATGTGAAATCCTCCGAGCATCACTATGACATCCTTCAAGAGAGATTCGTGTTTGGAATCCCATTGGAGCAATTTTGCCTTGCAGTACAGTTGTTCATCGAAAGTCATAATAGTATATTTTTGCTCAAGATGTCTAACTAAGTCTTGGCACCTCGTTATGGCTGTCCAGTTGGTGTCGTAATCATGTGCGGGGGAATTTATGATGGGGAGCTCACTCACAATGGTTATATTTCCGGTTCTGGACTACCTTTCTTAACCTTTTATGCTTTCTTCTGCGACAGCAGCGCCAACCCATAATCCCTAGTATCGCGCGCACGTACTCATTACCGTAAATGTCCTGTCGCTACAAGGTCCACACTCAGGATGAGACCTATGGCATCATGAAAATGTGGGTAAAGACACAAAAATTATGCCTCTACGATATTTAGGATTTTAGTTATTCAAAAAAAATAAACCAATTTCATTGGCGGCCATCTTGAAATCTAAGATGGCCCCATCCTATGCTTTTCTAGGTGTCATAACTGGGTTCTCCACTATCCGAAATGTGGGTATAGACACCAAAATTATGTCTCTACGACGTCTTGGAGTCTAGTTATACAAAATAAACAAATTTCACTGGCGGCGATCTTGAAATCCAATATGGCCGTCATCCTATGTTTCTCTAAGTGTGATAATTGGGTTCTCCTCTATGTAAAATGTGGGTATAGCCACCAACATTATGTCTCTACGACGTCTGAGAGTCCAGATATTTATGAAAATCCATTTTCGCTGGCGGTCATTTTGGATTTCAAGATGGCCGCCACAATACGCAAAACTCCGCCTGGAAACATACCCAGTGGAAATCCCCAAGTATCCTAGAAATGTTTTTATCTCTTTCCTAAAAAGTTTAGGGTCATCCTTATTTTGGATATCTGCCCCCTGACTATATCAAGAAAATAGAGAAAACCGTGTGATATGGCACCGACCCATGTTATGATACAGCATATCTAGATGACACACACACACATGATATCAAGAGTGCATAATAGAGAAGAGTATGACACGGTTTTAACAGCGTTTTGCATAGTTTTCAACTTGTAAATACTCTATCAATATGTGAATAAATATATTCAACTTTACCTTGTTTTCG